GACGGGGGGGCAGGGAGGGCTGTACACACAGAGAAGCCAACTAGTGATTCTACAGCATCTTACTACCGTGATGAACAGTGACTGTAATGAGGTTTGTCCAGGGGATTCGTGAAGGGGGTAGTCTAGTAAACAATGTTCCTCATGTAATTGTAGATGAATGATACCAAAATTTTTAAAAAATGTACACGTATCAAAAAAAAAAAAGGTCTGAGGCAAAAGATGCTTAAGTGTCGATCATGGTTGATCCTGAATGATGGAAATACTGGGACTAGCCTTACAATTTCTTTGTACTTTTCGGCATGTTTAATTTTTAAGGAAAAATATTATTGAATGCAAAACGCTTTCCTTTTAATTTTTTAGCTGACAGTCAAAAAACTTGTTCCAGTACCTTGTAAATGTTTCTCAAGGTTAGCACTTACTGACATTTTGCAATGGATTAGCTGCTCAGGGGCCATCCTGGGTAATGCAGGATGCTCAGCAGCATCCGTGGCTTCTAACCCACTAGACGCCAGGCCCAGGCCCCGTCCTAGTTGTGACGACCGAAAACGTCCCCAGACATTGCCAAATGCCCCCTGGGAGGCAAAACCGGCCCGGTTAGGAACAGCTACCTTAATACATAAACTCTAAGATATTTTACATCTTTTAACTTTATATAATTGCTTTAGTTTAAAGAGTTCAAAAATATATTCCTTGTTAAATATCGCACACTCCAAGGGGAAGGGTGCACGCAGGGATGAGGAAAGTTTCAAACGAAAAAATCTAATATAGCAAGCACTTAAAACCCAGTTACCATTCAATAAAATGATGAATACAGGGCCCTGGACGCCCACTTCTTCCAGCTCTCCCGCAGCGAGGGGTGAAGGAAAGCAAACACTGCCCCGGCGGCCCCTCCGCGAAGGCCGAGGATGGGAAACAGAGCGGCCCTACCTCCACGGCCGTAGCCCTGCGTCCGGCAACCACCAAGTTCCCGAGTGTCCGCGCAGGAGCAGCGTCTCGCGGATCCAAAACTCCCGCCCGCGCGCTGCATCCTGGGAGTCCCGAGAAAGGAGGCTACGTCAAGCTTGGAGGCGGAACCTGCCAGGAGACAGTTGCCAAGGGAGACTGAGGAGGCGGGGCCTCTGGAGAATGTTGTGAAAACGAAAGGCCCACAGAGCTCGCTCGGGCGGTGCCGGGGACCTACAGGGTACGGGGAGCCCCGGCGACCGGCTGCTGGCGGGGGCGGGTCCGCAGAGCGGGGGCTGTCGGAGGACGGGGTCCGAACTAGAAGCAAATGGGAAGCCAGGCTGTGGGCCTGGTCCCGCCTACAGGCCCAGACGGCCGCATTGGATTGGACTGCGGGGCTGCGCTTCCTCCCGCCTTCCGGTGTCACGCGACGGCCTCCACCTCCCCCCCTTGCTGTCTACCTCCCAGCCGGCCTGGCGGGTGGGAGGTAATATATTCGGACGGTGTCTGTGCAAGTAGCGACAGCGACTGCAGTCACGTCCATTACCGCGAGCATGGCAGAGGTGAGAAGCCGACCGTACCGCTGCCGGCTCTGCCCCCCAGACCCAGAAGGCGCCTCTGAGGCCCGGGGGCTGGGTGCCCAGGTGCAGGTGGGCTGCGCTGTGGGGAAGTGGGATGCTGTGCCTGGTGTCTGAGCGTTCCTTCGTGTCTCCCTTTCAGTGTCACGCCCAGAATAAAGCCAAACTCATCTCTGAAACCCGACGGAGGTTCGAAGCTGAGTATGTGACAGGTGGGTACCGTGTTTTTGGTGTTGAGGCAGGCGTGCAACGAGCATCCCCAACTTTGCTGGTTGTATGTAGGTGTGTCTGTAGAAAGTGTTAGGGACCATTTCGACCCTAACAGGGACAGCGCCCTGCACGTTTCCAAGGTTTTCTTGTCCATAACATGCTGTGCACACTGCTCCAGTTGGGCAGATGATGCATCCTTTGGTTCCCTAAAGGGTTAATATAAGTTGGAAATTGGTGAGTTTCGAGCATCTCGAGTTTATGGAACTTACAGGGTCCATGGCACAAGTAACTCTGTCCAATCCATAGTTCCTCTGCTAACCTTTAACCAGCAACAATCGAGAAAATGAACCTGGAATTGCCATAATACGGTTCATGTGTACTTAGTTGGGGAGCCAAATTCCTTGGATATTTTGCCTACTTCCACTTCATACAACCCAGCATGCTACCCGTCGAGTAGGCCCTCCAATGCTGGAACAAGTTATCTTTTCATCCCACACTATATCTAGCAAAATACCTGTGAATTAAAAGTCCAGAATTGATTTATTGACTGAATAAACATTGTGTACAGATGTCACAGTTACTTGAAACTGATTATTTAATCCTTGTACAATTTTTGAAAGCATGCAGGATGATTATAAATATTAAATCTTTGAATCTTGATTCTCTCAATTGATTATCTTTTCTGAGCCCTTTTCCACATGTGTGAAATGCAAATAATTAGGAGGATTGAATGAAAAAGCATATATCAAACTGTCTAGCATGGGGTTAAAATAGTAGGCCCTCAATGAATATTTGGTCTCAGTAATCATTTTGGTTACTGTGAAAGGAGTTAAGCTTTAGTATCTTGACTTTAGTGCTAAGCAGAGGTTCTGTGGCCTAGATTAGATGTCAGTTGATGACCAAGAATAAGAAAATCTATTCAAAATAATCTGATCAGTAAGTCTTTTTATTCCTCCCCATCAATTTTTTTCGTATCCCAAATTTGGCACCAGAGAGTTGCGGAAGCACTTGGTTCACTTTTTGCCCAGAGATCTCATTTGTAATGAAATAGTTGGTTCCAGTAAAGAGAGAATTCTCAAATGGCTTGGTATAGTAATGGAACTCTCATAGCTACATGGTTTATAATATTTTAGGAAGTAACCCAGACCTTGACCTAATGAGCTAGTATCTCCTGAGTAATTATTTGCTTATGCCCAAGGAAAGAAGCAGAATAGACGTAGACGTAGTCATAGAAATTTAGCAATAGACAATATCCTAAAGGTCATTTTGGTCCAACCTTCTCATTTTTAAAATGAAGAAAGTAAGGTCTAGAGAGATTAAGTGATTTGCTCAAAAATCCCTGGTGTTGCCGGTTCCTGGACTTGCCATGGGAATGAAGAAGGAGATATCTAAGCTGGCCTGTGCATACAGTAAAACAACAAATTTGACTGGATCTACACTGTTGGAACTCAACCAAGAATTAGGAGAAGTGCAAGTTGCAGCGCTCCATAATCTATAACTACAGACTATTTACTATTAAAAGAACATATGGGATGTGAACAGTCCCCAGGAATGGGTTGTTTTAAATTGTCTGATTTCTCTCAGACTGTTCAAGTTCAGTTGGACAATATCCACCATATCATAGATAAGTTTTCATAAATGCCTAAGGTGCCTAACTGGTTTTCTTGGTTTCACTGGAGATGGCTGGTAATTATAGGTCTGCTTTGGCTATGTAACTGTATTTCTATTATGTTAATGTGTGTGCGCAATTAGTTAGTAGTTTAAAACCTATACATGCTGAAGTTACTCTACAAGAAGATATGTCAAAGAAATAATCAATCTTCCCATGTTTTCTTCCGCCTGCTACTTCTATAGCTTTTCTTCTTCCTTCCTAATTACAACCCCTAAATAGAATTCGTGCCTCTTATCGAATTTACCGTGTATCACAATTCTTCCAAGTGGTAAAGATACCTCAAGACAAATGCTGGGCATAGAACCCACAGGGCATAAATCTACAAAGAAGTAAAAAACTAACCCTTTCAAACAATAAAGCTTCTCTCTCACTTACCAACTTTACATTTCCCTGTATGGCCCCGGAAGATGACTGGTTAACCAGAGACGGGTAAGATTCCTCAAGGGAGGAACAACCTAAGACAGGCACAGTTGCAGGGGGCCATCAGATGAGAAATTGGGGATCAGAGGTGAGGCTTAGAACCTCCCCCCTCCCCTGTTCTGAGAGAAATCTGCTGCATCCGTGGATGTCTTATTGCCCTTGTCTAGCTTGGATTAACACATGTCTACAGGCACACACCTGATCATCTACATTTGCTCTCTCACAACACTAAACTATGTTTTCTACCTTTATCTTGCATCTACCTACAACTTCAGCATTTTATTAAAAATAATAATAATAAAGAGAGAAATGTGGTACCCACATATAAATCAAGTATAAAAATCAAACGAATATTCATATTTGAACTGACTGTTTATAGTTCATAATGCATGATCAAAACCGAAAGTTTCTGTGATGACTGCCCTTGTACTATTCACCATGTAAGTTATTCACTATGTAAGAATTTGTTCTCCATGTAAGAACTTGTTCATTATGCTTCAGAAGATTGGAGACTGATGAAAATTAGGCCTGGGGTGGATTAATTATACATTGAGCATTGAGTCCCCTATACAGAATTTTATTGTTGTTAACAACCATTTGATCAATAAATAGGAGAGATGCCCTCACAAAAAAAAAAAATACACACTTCCAATTGTAAAATGAATAAGTAACCGGGATGTAATGTATAGCATAAGGAATATAGTCAAAATATTGTAACAACTTGGTATGGTGATAGCTGGTACCTAGAATTATCATGTATATAAATGTTGAATCACTGTGTTGTACACCTGAAACTAATGTAATGCTGTGTGTCAACTACCCTTCAATAAAAAATAATTATCAAAAAAAATAAAATAAAATAACATCCCCACAAGCATACATTCTTTCCAAATTAGGTATGATAGAATATCCCTTAGATTTTAAGCAAAGAAAGCCTCGGTTCTTCTATCTAGCTTTTATTCTAGTCTGCATATTATTAATCTTTTAAAAGTTGATGTACTAGGGAGTCACTCACTTTTAAAATTCCATTAGTTGTCCAAGTCTTCTTTAGTAAAACTCTAGTTCATGATTTGTAGTCATGCATTTCAATTAACAAGATTAAGCTATTAATACAATATACCTTAGTAATACTTTTAATACAGTAACTGTGTTTGAAAGAAATTTCAGGTCAGACACTGAAGAATTAAAAGGATGCTTACAACACATTTTTAACAACCTGGGGATCTGCCCATGTTATAATCCTAGGCGAAAAAGAACCTGAATTGTATACACACTGATCTGATAATGTCTAAAATATCTATGCATGTGTAAAAAAATTCTTGAAGCAAATTTTGTGAAATGTAAAAGTGACTTAAAGTATTAGTTTCTTTAATTTCTCACTTTATATTTTTCCACATTTTATATTTTTGCCAAATTTTCTATAAAGAAAATCCCTTGTATAACTTAAAAAACCAACTACCACCCATTAAAATGGATTTGCAGGTCTATAACCCCAAGTATGGATGATGACGATGATATAATGATAATAATAATTATAAACATTCAAATGCTTTCTATTTACCAAGCACTATTTTAGGGGCTTCAAAAAAAAAATCCCTGATGTTGGTGGCTAGGAGAGGGCTAGCATTCACATCTTCTGAATTTCACTATAGTGATCCTGGCAATACCATCATATTGAATTAGATCATGTCACTCCCCAGCTTAAAACCCTTCAGTTCCTTCCCCCTGTGTTTAGAATAAAAATCCCAATTCTTTATAGTGGCCTAAAATGCGAGTCCATGCATGCTATAGCTCTTGCCCACCTGTCCATCTTAATCTGTTATTATCTCCTTGCTTAGTACAGATTTCACCACTGCCCACAGTAAGAAATGTATCATGCATTGCAGTCTAGCACACGTGCACACACACATAACTGAAGCAAAAGTTCATTAAATACTTACTGTGAACAACTTCTGTTGCAGTAACCCACAAAATTGACAACACAACCTATAAATGTAATCCAGTTAGAAAAACCATGACCAGCCACACTGACTCTTTAGTGTTCTTCCAACAGACCGAGTCTGTTTCCCTCTTCGGATCTCTCCACTTCTGTCTGGAAGGCTCTTGCACAGGTAGCATGCATGGCTAGGTCCTTCTCTTCTTTTCCATCTTGGTTTAAATGTATCTGAGAGGTCTTGCTGATTATTAAATAACCTCCCTGTCTTGTCTGTCTCCTTTAGAGATCTTACCATACCCTGTAATTATCTCATTCATTTGCTTACATGCCTGTTGTTCATGTTCTCGAGTAGAACATGTACAGATCAGGGGCAACCTGTGGACAATGAGGGCAGGGTCTGACTCACCTTTGTATACCTAGCCCAGTTCTCAGTACATACTGAAGAAATATAGCAACACTTAAATATATGCATAGAGAGATTAGTCCAAGTCTGCATTAAGAGCAGTCCTAACCGGCTCCCCTTGCCCAAAGAAATACACCTCCAGAATCTGGCAAAGAGCAGTTTTATTTCAAAGTAAAGCACTGCATAGCATTAAGTATAGGGAGAGATTGTCTTTAAATATACACACTTGGGTATGTATGAACACATGGGTGGGTATCTGCACAGCTGTTGTAAATACTAATGTAAGACTTGCATGGGAAAGGAAAATAAAAACCTTTACAGAGTTTCTCTCAAAATTTGAGCTGTTTCTTGAAATAGCATGCGGTAAAGGTAGAATGGAAAATGGCGAAAAGGGTTTTCAGATTTGCCTGTGTCCCCCCTTTCAAGTTTACTTTCTAAAATTAACTCAGGCGTTTAGAACATACACATTCCTTCTTCCTCTTTCATTTCACCCTTTCTATTGTCATTAGCAATATTTTGTTTCACAAGAGGCTTAAGGCAGACTTAAGCAAATGAGATGTTTTTCCTAAAGGAAAATATTTATTATCTGCAAATATATGACTTTAAGCACTGGCAAAGACTCTCCTGGAGGTAGGTTCTTGGGAATTCCAAGCACATTTTTGTTTCCATAGAAATTAAGTTACCAATTATGGATAGATTTGCAGCTGGCAAAAAGAGTAAACTGTAAGTCCATAATTGTTTTATGCAATACAAATGGTCCTTTTTTTCCCCTCATTGTTCTGTGAGAAATTCCATACTCAGTCTCAAATGAGAAACATTTCCTGTTTTCTCTTCCTCCTTCTTGTGGCCAAGACAAGAGACTTCTCCCTTGTGACAATAATTTATTTGGTTCCTCAGATACTCATTATGTGCTTAATTCTGGGAAGCAGTGTGTCAATATTTGAGAGAGAGAATAGAGCCCTTTCCTGAATTACTACATCTGGTAGAGGCATTACAACTGTTGAGGCAAATTGTATTAAGAGGAATATCATTTCTGTAGGAGTCAAAGACAAGGAAAATCACATCTGGTTGGGATGCCTGAGTTAGCACAAAGTTAGAATAAACTTCGTAGGAAAGGTGGTGTTTCCCATGAGCTTCAGAAGATGGTAGAACTCTGCCAGATAGAGAATGTGATCCAGGCAGATCAGAGAGCCTGAGCTAAGGCACTGAAGTGAGAAGTTATGGGGCATGTTGGGAAAGCCATAGGAAGTCCACGTTGATAAGCCTTGAGAAGGTTAAACACGCCTGGCTGAAAGCTGGGCACGGGGCATAGAGCCTTGGACTCCAAAGCAATGCATTTGTACTTCAGTGAATTTGGAGAGCAGTTGAGAGGTTTGTGGGTTTGTCATTTTAGGTTTGTTTCCTGACAAGTATAGGAATTCATTTAAGTGAATTTAGATGATACCAAAAAAGTCCAAAGAGTCCCCTACCCAGAGATACCCATGATTTGCTTCTGTTGCTCAACAGTCATTCATATTGTCAAATGTAACTATAATTGATTCCTTTTTAGAGCTGCATAGGGGTTAATGGAATGAAAATATCAACTGATGAATTGGGGGTGGATTTTAGGTTTTGATATTTTGTACAGTGCTGCTATGAACAGTCTTACACCCACCTGGTGCCTAGACTTTCTCTAGAGCAGCAGTTCTCAAAGTTGGTCCAGGAACATGAAAACATCATTTGCCATTTTTACTGTCATTCTCACAAGCATACACAGCATTTTCCAGAGTTTAAATGCCATGTGATGGTGCATTGCTCTGACGGTTGACAAAATGTGTGCTTGTGTGCTCTTACTTTTAAAATGTTTCTGTCTTAGTAATCTAATGCAGTAACTACCAATAAATATAACCTATATTTTTAAAAGAGCTCTTTAGAGTCTGCAGTTATTTTTAAGAGTGTAAAAGAAGTCCTGAGACCAAGAAGTTTGAGAACTGCTGCTCTAGCTAGGGCTTATACCCAGCAGTGAAATACGTGAGTTATATAACAGACACGTTTGACTTTACTAGGTAATGCTGAGCTATTTTCCCAAAGTGATTGTACCCGTTTACATTTTAACCAGCAGCTTTTGAGTGTCCTTGTTTTTTTCCACACCCTAAAATTTGGCATGGTTACTCGTTTGAAAAATGTTTGCCCATCTGATGAGGGTGTTCAGATATCTCCTTGTGGTTTTAATTGCATTTCTTTGAGTACCAGTGAGATTGAGCATTTCTTCATATCTTTATGGGCCACTTGGTTTCTGCTTCTGTGATAACTTCTTCTAGCTCTTCTTGGCCCTTCGTTCCTCCATATATTATAGAATCAGCTAATGTTTCTGTGAAAACAACCTTTGTTGGGATTTTGAGTGGAATTGTGTTAAAAGATCAGTTTAGGAAGACTTGACATTATCATGGTTGAATCTTCCTAGCTGGCATATCTATCTATCTGCTAAACTGGTCCTTATTGAAAGATTTATACTTTTGCCCATAAAGGTTAACCTACTTTTGTTAAATTTATTCCCAGATATGTTACATGTTTTATTTTTGTGATTGTTTAAATGGTATCTCTTAAGAATTTATTTTCTAAACTGAACTCTGAGACCTCTTATTAATTTCAATAATGTATCTCTAGATTCGTTTGGGATTTCTATGTCGACAGTAACATCACTTTGAAATAATGACGGTTTCCTATCTAACATCCAGTTCTTAATAACTGTAAATGCTTTTGCTTTACCCTGACTGGAACGTTTAGAACACTGTTGGATCGAAGCAGTGATAAAAGCTTATTTGTCTTATTCCCAATCTTAGAAAGGTAGCCCAAATATATCACCATTAAGTATGATTTCTGTAGATACACTTTATCAAAATGAAATAGTTTCCTTCTGTTCCTGGTTTGCTAGTTTTTTGCTTGTTGTTCTGTTCCCATCACAGTTGATGGTTGAATTTTACTAAATGCATTTTCTTCATCATTTGAATACATTTATTGTATCTGATATGAGATGTTCACTTGGTTTTTCTCTTTTAATTTATTAATATAGTAGACTATATTAATCGAATTTTTAAAATATATTGCTGTATTTGCTTAGCTTATATTTTGTTTAGGAGTTTTGCATCTGTTTCCACAAATTGGCCTGTAATTTTCCTGTCTTATTCTTTTCTTGTGTGATTTTGACATCAAGATTATGCAGTCCATAAAATCAGTTAGGGTGTTTCCTTTTTTCTACTCCCTGAAAGATACGGTCATTGTGTAGTTCTAACCTGGTTCTCCATATTCACTCCTCTCCCAATGTATTATTGTTATTTTACATGTTAGTGTTTGTTTACTTACTCTGTGTTTGCTAAGATCTTCATTTGCCATTCCTTCTTGAGTTTCAGATCTTACATCTGGGGCCATTATCATTTCTTCTTAAGTACAACTTAGATTTTCCCATCAGGTGGAGTCTTGGTGGCAAACTCTTAGCTTTGAAAATTTCTTTATTTTGTGTTCTTTTTTTTTAAATTAAGCCATTAACTTTGAGGAATGCCTTCATTTTATTGGGCTGAAGGATACAAAGTGATTAGAGGGAGAGGAAAACCAGGAAACTTTAGTATTGCAGGTGATCACAAGAGAATTTTAAGGACAGGAAGATCAGTGAATGGAAAGAACCTCTGTAGGTAAAGGGTACATAAAACAGGGACTGTCCTTATCAGTTATCTTCATTGAAAAGGAAGAGTGCAAGGAAAATGACATTTAAAGTGTAACTACACTATTGGATATTTCACATAAGCTCTCTAGATTATGAACCACCCAAGGGATCAGCTCAGGCTTTTATTCATCTTTGCATCTGCAATACTTAGTTCTCTTGAACTAGCATATGGTGGGTGACCATAAATTCATCTTCATTACTAAAGAGTTACGTATTATCCCCAAGAGTAAAAGTCTTTAAGAGAGATAGGTAGGTAGGTAGACACTTGTATTTTTTTTAATTCTCCATTTTTAACATTCTCAAGGTCAACCTTTTAAAGTTGTCATGATCAGAATAAGACAAAAAGATCTTAAGAGTTCATCAGTTTTGTCCTTATTACATATCTAAAGATATCAAGCCTCTGCTGTAGAGAATAGATGATCATACCTTTACATAGAGACTTCAGTGGTAAATTTGTAATAAGATAGAGAATCAGTAGACCTGCTTATTTTTGAATCTTTGTTCTTGGTAATGACTTATCAGTGCCTGCAAGTCTTTTGTTTTGACTCATCAGTTTAAGCTGTTGAGACCTAGTCTTCATATATACGCTCATCCTGAATGTTTAGTGACATATGCAACTTTAAAGAGTCTGTTATTATAATACTATCACTTCTAGGATATCAATTTGTTTTTAGTCAATTGTCATTTGAAAACCTTGCATGAAAAGAGTGGTCTATTTACCAAATCTTTGTCATCTTGTTAGTAGAGTACATGAATGATTTTTCATTCCTGGAAATCAAATCTCTAATAAGAATTTTGGTTTGATTAGATCTCTAGGAGATGGAGTAGAGTTCACAGAAATTACTAATTTTTTCCCCTGCAGCCATTTTGCATGGAGTAAGTGTTCAAAAAAATTGCTAATTTCAATCCAAACTATTTTTTGTACAAACTAAATTTGTATTGACTATGTAGAGAGAAATTTTTTGTTGGTAGTTACTTTATATTTACTACTTGGGCCATGATTTGCAGAAACTTTTCTTTTCCCATGATACAGCTATATACTCACAACTAACATAGACATTCATAGACAATTATTAAGTTTTTATACAGGCACCCAGATCATTGGAGGGAAAAAAAACAGATAAAAGTACATAAGAGAAAATAGGACACAAGAAACCCCATATACATGTACAAGGACTTCCAGAAGGAAAAAATAAAGACAACACTATTTGAAGATACAACAGTTGACAATTTTCCAGAGTTTATTAAAAAAAATCAAATCCTCAGATTAAAGAAACATAATAAGATCTGAACATCATAAGGAAAGAG